TGCCTGGTAACGGTGTTGGATCATTCCTAATTAGAGAAAGTCCGAGAGAAAGAGGTAAGTACCTGGAAGTGTCTTCTACTGTTGCATACTAACCACATAAAGTTTTCCATTCACACACATTACGGCAATAAGTGTCAGTGCAAGTGAAAAAGACAATGCAGTCATAACTGCTGTTCCCTGCAGGTGTATATTCTCTCTCTGTGAGACACAGGACCATAAAGCACTATAAAATATTCCGTCTGACTAATAGCTGGTACTACATCTCCCCACGGCTTACCTTTCAGTGTCTGGAGGACATGGTCAGTCACTACTCTGGTGAGAACTAAAGACAAAACTCTCATATTCTGCTTGTAATGTGGAATGAGCATGTGATACATTCATGCTAATGTGTTTTGGTTTTCCCTCAGACTCATCGGATGGTATATGTTGTGTTCTCAGTGCTCCGTGTCTGGCTCTGTCCAACCCTGCCCAGAGCACATCCCAGGAAGCGCCTCCTGTGGTAATGCGCCGTAACTTGGATTGGAAGAAAGTGAATAAGTACGTCTCTGTCTTTTTAGATGCTGCTAAGCATTTCCTCCATTTGCTGAGCTTGTATAGAATGACTGGTATTTCCCCGCATGAATAGGTCACAGCTGATGAGCCCAAGCGAGCTGGATAATGCGGACAGCAAACATAACATGATGAGCTACGGTGTGAGGAGCAGCATAGCCGCCTATCTGTCTTTAACATCAGTACCTGAGCTAGAGAACGCCAAAGGCCGCAAGAAGAAGAGCAAGTCTGTCTACGTGATGCCTGACCACAGTAATATAAATGAAGATGAGGACTATTAGCTCATGAGTGTAGACTTTTAATCTTTTTATTTTAACCAACACATTGCTATGGACTGTAATATTTTTGCACTGGGTTAAGTGGATCTTTCACATACATGTCCAGGTCACTTTTCTATGGAAGCTGAAGAGTTTACATCTCACAATTCTACGATTACATTTTGCAATTCTGACTTTTTTTTCTCCGAAATCTGAGTTAACATCTCATAATCCTGTTTTTTTTTTTGTTTTTGTAGTTGTTTGTGCCATGGAATAAAAATGAAAATAGTAATTGCACATTTTTATCTCACAATTCTGACTTTTTTTCTTGCAATTGTGAATTAACATCTCAAAATTATTTTTTCTCGAAATTGAGTTAACATCTCGCAATTCTGAAATTTTTCTTAAAATTATGAGTTTGTCTTATAATTCTGAATTCTCAGTCAGATCAGTTTGTCAGTTAAAAAGACACAATTACCTTTATTTTTTCATTTATTTATTTATTTTTTTAAATTCTGTGATGGAAACTGGCTTCCATAAATTTCACCCTAAAATCAAATAGAAAAAAGTGATTCTTTTAATGATGGTTGTTCACATTTACTGTAATGTGTTTGGATGTTTTACTTTTGAGTATTGTTTTTTAAATTCCAATTATTCTCAGTGGTGAGCCATTAGATTCTTAGTAATGTATTTTTTTTTTATTATTATTTAAAACAGTATATAAAAAGCAATACAGCAAATACTACAATTAAATATATAAATATTTTTAACATTTAAATATATAGAATATATTTAAGGCCAATAAAATGTATTTCTTTTAATTTTAGGGTGAAATATGACCCAGACATGTTCCTTATGTGCTTTTGTGAGATTCACCCATATGTAATTTCAGTAATTTTCACTATTAAACTTCACTATTAAAGTAAATCAAGAAAACTGTTGACACACTACTTTTTCTTGATTTACTTTACATGACCAAGCCCCTTTTTTTATTTTTTTTTTTTTTTTTTTTTTTACTTTTGAACGATAATTTACATCTAAAATTAAAGAAACTAACGTTATGGTTGTTAAAATGTACTTTTATGCTCTTTTTAGATCGAAAAGCCTCAGGCAAAGTAGAAATGTCTAGTTTCATGAATATACGTCCTTTTCTTTGATGCAAGTTCAGTCTAATTTTTTCATAAAATGCACGAACTAATGGAAAGACTCCATTAGTGTGATATATCAGGTTTGACAGTAGTTCAGATCACTCAAGGTATCAGTTCCTCTATACTAGAGATTTGTCCATAAACTCGTCCCAAAAAGTATTTGTGCGCTTAAGGTTGAAGTGTCTGGATGTCATTGCATGTAATTGCAAATCATCAAAGCAAGTGTTATTAATTGTATTTCTCTCTGTAGCTGTGGAAGTCCAGCACTGGAACACATTTGGGAGGCTGATTTGGAGGCTTGTCATCTCCTCCTGAAAGGCCTCGATCAGCGCACCTCCAGCATCTCAGAATCGGACGATCTTCCCTCCATCCCTGGATCGGGTTCAGGTGTCCTGCCGGTCACTAAAGAGGAAGCGGACTGCGCCATGTTGACCGCTCTAGGGGGGCGCTGGTGTCCCGAGGCTGACCTCCAACACTCAGAATTCACTAAGGTAAAGCCACAACACATTAATATTCAGCAAAATGGATCAAAAGAATTACTTATTACATGTTCATGGTCTAAAAATGTTTGTCTTTCTTGTCTTTCACTTTCAATTTTTGACTGAATGCATGTAGGCCTCTTGGCAAGCATCGAGCAGAATTAACCCTGTAAAGGCTGAAATGAAATAATAGTTAAAAAAATCTGTTTGAAAATGGAAGTTTATTTAACCTTTAGACAAAATCTAAAAAGATCTGTTTTTTGTTGAGTATCATAATTAATACATCAGGCTTTTATGGCTCATATGATATGATATAGTGAGAATATGAAGGAAAAAACAACTCCATTTTCAAAGGCCCAAACTGAGCAAAAACACCGTATGCAATTTGGTGCAGATGCTGATATTTACGTGGACAAAAAGTGATGAAATTCTGATTGGATCCAGACTGAAGCTTGTGTAATTCTTACATCCCGTGGCAGAAACAGAGAAACAAATAGAGACATAATTAGCGTAGCTGCTGTTCCAACCAAGCAAAATTGAGTTGTTTAACCCAAGCTAAAGAATAATAATGTGCATTTGATCAGATATAACTGCAGTCCAAGATTATGAGATGCATTATTTGAATGCTTGGCCAAAGAGATGTGTCTTTACTCTAGATTTAAACAGAGAGAGGCCCATCCATAAAAAAAAGTGTCTCTCACAGCAAAAATGACCTCATGACGATAACAAAAATGACAACGCTGACCTTATACGTCATGCTCCCGGAACTGCTTCCATGTACAACTGTTGGCGCAAGCTACATTAAAGTGATTATTACGTTTTGAATATGGATATTATAAAACACATCGATTCGCTACAGAAGGCCTTTGTTCACCCCCCGGAGCCATGTGGATGGGCGCTTTTTATTTAACTTCTTTTGGACTGAAGCAATGCAACACCCGCTGACTGCAATGATAGAGCTTGAAAGATCAAAGACAATTTTCAATATAACTCCGTCTGAAAGAAGAAAGTCATATACACCTAGGATGCCTCGGGGGTGAGTAAAACTGGGGTAATATGATCATATTTTCTTGACCTGGTAAGCACTCTAGCCGCTGCATTTTGGACTACCTGTAGCTTGTTTATTGAAGATGCAGGACAACCACCTAGCAGTGCATTACAATAGTCCAGTCTAGAGGTCATGAATGCATGAGCTAGCTTTTCTGCATCAGAAACAGGTAACATATTTCGTAGCTTGGCAATGTTTCTAAGATACAACTTGTGCTTTATGAAAGACTCACGAAATTAGAAACTAAAAATAGAAACCCCTTTCTTTCGGCTCCCTCCATTTCCATAAAAACCATCCATTTGCTGAATGACTCTAATTTCCACTCTATTCTCCTTCTTCCTTCGCTGCCCTTCTCGTTCTTAACTTTTTCTAAGTCGTTCTAATATCTTTCAGCTCAGCAGGGGTCTATTGTCTCTAAGTGCATGGCTGTTTTTGTCTTCTGTCTGTTGAAGATCAGCCACTCCTCCTAATGCTCCTCCAGGACTCTGAAGGTGAGGTGACGCTGCGTCTCCCACTCTCTGCTCTTCATCTCTCTGCTTCTCTCATACTCTATATGTGCGTCTATACTAGCCAACACAGCATATTATTCATGTATTATTTGTCTAACAAATCTAAAAATTATTATTATTATTACTGGACACACTTGCACATAAATATTTAATTTAATTCATATAATAATTCTATATGTAAGTGCAAGTGTGTTCGAATAGCATAAATTATATATATAATAAATAAATATATATTAGGGCTGTCGAAATTAACGCGTTAACGCAAATTAATTTTAACGGCACTAATTTTATTAACGTGCAATTAACGCAGCACACATTTTCTGTTTGACCCGTGGCCTAGCCCGTAGCTGGAGAAATGGAGATACAGTGTTGCCAAAAAAGCGCCAAATCTTTAGGGTTTGCCCAAACCTTAGGCCGTTATTGCTTTCCCAGCATGCACACACCTCTTTCTCTTTCTCTTTCTCTTTCTCTTTCTCTGCGTCTGCTCTGTTCAGCGAGCGGCTGAGAGGAGCAGCGCTTTCAGTTAAACCAGATATTATGTTGCTTCTCTAATTTCACATGCAAGTATAGCCAAAATCACAGCACAGCTATTGTCTTTATCTTATGTGTATTTGATATCATCACACGGCGGCTCGATTATAAATCAGGATTTTTGTTCTGATAAACTTCTTGAAAGGGAGAGCTATGTAGTTTTAACGGCTTGCGTTTGAGTCACTATTTCATATTCATTCGGTTGTCTGACAACAGAAACAGTAAAATATATCAATGAAAACAGTTTTATTGAGAATTTAGCTGCATCAAAATACAGTATGTGTGCACAGAGAGGCAAACAAATGTAATAATAAATAATAAATGTACATTTTGCATGCTCAGAAGAAGTGAACTGCCCTGTACTGCAAATAATGTAAACAGGCTTGTGTAAGTAAATTGCTCAGTGCAAATAAAGAGAAGTAATGGGAACCTGGTATTTCTGTTCTTTATAATAATGTTCATATTAATAATAGATATGTATAATAATATATATCTAATAAAGATTGAAATATTATTATTATTATTATTCTATTTGGAAATACTTGCACATGTATTTATTATAGTAAATTATATTAAATACTAATATAATTAAATACTGATAATAGTAGTAGTAAATTATAGTTAGTAATGATAAAAAATTATGATAATAATAATAAAAATAGTTATGTATTACATTACACTTATAATGTAGTGTGTGTGCGTGTGTGTGTGTTTGTATACTTACATATTTTTGATACTTTGTTGCCTGCAGCAGCCGTCTGTTTCTTATAAATATATTGCTTTAGCAATAAAACATTGACTTTTTGACAAGCTAAATATGATTTTAAACCAGGTCAGAATCTAATAAACGAGGCAGTGGTCTACGCACAACCAGGGGCACTTTAATATTGCTCCTGCCGACAAGAGATGATAATTAATATTGTGTCATTTAAATCCCAATCTCTGAGACACGAGGCTGTAATCTATTTTCCTGAGGCCGGCTCCCATCAGCTCGAGTTGAACTAATAGATCTGCCACTGAGTGCTAATTATTGTCTGCTTTAGCACACAACTCCTGAATGCAATCATTACCCACACAGATGGGCCGAACCCGTTCAATTATTTTGCTTCTTGTCAGCCGTAATGACGAGTTATTGCACACTTCCCATAATGTCAGTGTGCTGAGTGCTTTTTAATAATAGATGAGGTTTATTGTTTTGTTTTAATCTTCTGCTAAAGTGACTCATTCGTCCTCCTGTGTCTTGCAGAAATTAGAGGAGTTTCTCTTCTGTTTGGAGGATGCGTCTCCTGAGGTGAGTGACGGCCTTCACTCTGCTGTGTTTGAAGGAATCTGATGTTAAAAATGTGGGCCGTTAAAGTTCATCCAGAAATTAAACACTCTCATCGTTTACATTTCCATCTGTCCATCATACAATGTCATCATTTGACTTCAGAATGTAACTTTATAAGGAGCTTGGGCTTCTTTTATGGTGCATTTGGTCATTTTTTGATTTTGACATCCCCTTTTTTATTCACTTTTGTAAGAAAGAAAATTATATGTATTCGGAATAACATTTATAATATTAATATAATAATATTAATATTTATTATAATAATAATATTTTGTAATAAAACAATATTTTTTATAATTTTGTAATGTGCTTTTTTATCTAATTTTGTTTAGTTACATTTTTTATAATTTTGCAATGTGCTTTTAAAAATTTTTATATTATTATTTATGTTTTTATTCTTTTTTTAATTTTACTATTTAGGTTTAATTAATTTATTACGTTTTCCCCTTGTTTTACTATTTTGGTTTAAGTTTTAGTTTTAGTTCAGTTTTAATATTTTCAGTTGTTTTCCACCTAATATTTTTATTTTATTTCAATTAAGAAAAATGTTTGTAATATGTTTGTGTGTATATATATATATATATATATTAGTTTTCATTTATTTAATTGGTTAATTTAGTACTATAAATTAAACTAAATGAAAGTGAGATACATTGTCTTGGCAACAGGTTGAATTCAGTTTTTTTTTTAATGTCAGTTAACATTTTGTTATTATCATTATTTCAGGTAAAAAATTTTTTTTATGGTTTTAATTTTATTTTATTTAACTATAATATTCCTGAGTTAAAGCAGACAAGTCTCACAATCAGCATTAGAAAGCAACATGCTGGTTGTCCCTTTTGCATAATACCTACAGCATTGCATTGTGGGAAATGGAAAAATCGAGCCTGTAATGGGGTTTGCTTAAGCAGGGATTTTAATTAAAGCCACCCTGACCTCTTGCTCAATACTTGAACTTCAGCACCTGATAGTGTGAACAATGTTCAATCGATAAACAGCCCATCAATCTATCGGTTCAATGCAGTGTTTGTGTCAGCGGTGCCTCCTCAAAGCCAGACCAGAGTTACAGCTGACATAAACATTAAAACATTACAGTCCTTCTAAACCAGGAACCAGAACAACAGACCAAAGATATTGATGAGGGCTTAGTTTCAATAGGAAATATCTCACATAGGACAGAATTGTGTTTGTCAATCCATTGCTATCAGTCTGATATGGTCTGGTTTGCATATGGTTTGACCAGTTCTGTAATTAACTTTAATAGATAAGGCAGACCCTGTGTCTGGACCAAGAAAAAGCATTTGTTACAGCAGCAGAGAATGAATAATATAGTCGCTTCCCACATTTTAGGACTTTTTAGTGGATCATGTTTTATAGCAAAGTCTTGAATTATCAGATATCATCAGAAATGATTATCAGTTCTTATTCAAAAGTTATGCTTAAATGCTCTATAAATACACACACACACATGCATGTATATATTTCAGAAAAAATTACTATATATATGACTAAGAATATAAATTATATGAATATAAATATAGACATGTAAATACATGTAAATATTTTCAAAATATATACTGTATGTGTGTATTTATATATACATAATATAAACAGAACACACACGTATATTATGCAAACAAAAACATTTATATGTGATTAATTGCGATTAATCATTTGACAGCACTAAATCTATTATAATTTTTTATATATAAAATATACATTTTATTCATTTTTATTTATTCATTTTAATTAGTTAAATTTTTTAGTAATTTTGTTATGTGCTTTTAACATTTTTATTTGTTTTTAATATATTCTATTTAAGTTTAATTTATTTTTATTTCAGTTTTAGTTTTAGTAATTTTAGTGCTACAAATCAAGCTTATTTCAGTTAGTTGCCAAGGCAACATTTCTAATTTTGTTTAGTTTTTGTTTTACGTCTTATTTTTTTTTTCAGCTTTATTTAATTTAACACAATTTTTTTACTAGTTTTAGTTAATAACACAAATGGTGCTGTAAGATTTTGTTATGTAGGGAGCTTAGTAGGTTTTAGAACAGTTTTATATTCGCCATTTCTTAAAGGTGACATCATGAAAATCTGACTTTTCCAGGTTTTAAGTGCTATAATCAGGTCCCCGGTGCATCTACCAACCAAGGAAACGTGAAAAAGATTAACCCATTTAGCTGACGCTTTTATCCAAAGCAACTTACAATTGAGGAGAACAATAGAAGCAAACAGACGAACAAGCTGTAGTATACAAGCTCTGTGACAAGTCTCAGTTAGTCTAGCACAGTACACATGGCTAGGTTTTTTTTTTTTATAGAATAGAATAGGTAAGTGCTAGTATTAATTCGTTTAGGTGCTGGCGAAAAAGATGTGGTGTATAAGGCAAATCTGCAGGACCGGGCTGTTGAAGCAATATGGTCTGTGAAGCTTAACTGATCATTGCTAACAACTCCAAGGTTCCTGGCTGTCCTGGAAGGAGTTATGGTTGACGAACCCAGCTGTGTAGAGAAGTTGTGATGAAGTGCTGGGTTGGCTGAGACCACGAGCGCACCATTTCCTCTCTGCAGCCCTGAGTCTAGAGTGATGTTCACGGAGAACATTGGACAGACGGGGCAGAAGGGGTAGTACATGCTGGTCTGGATCAAAGGGGGCAAAAGTTGTCTAAGCAAGATTTTAGAGTGGAGCAGAGAGTGTCAGTAGCACTGTTTGTGTCCAGTGCTGAAAACTGAGAGGGTGAAGGAAGTGAGGATGAAACCATAGAGGATAGGCGAGAGGGAGAGAGTGAGCGTAGGTTACGTCGAAAGGTGACCTGCGGAGGAGGAGTGTGTGCTGTGTCAGGAGTTAGTGTGAGGTTAGAAGTGATGAGGAAGTGGTCTGAGGTGTGCAGTGGAGTAACTAAAGTGTTGTCAGTGGAGCAATAGCGTGTGTAGATGAGGTCCAGTTGGTTACCTGATTTGTGAGTAGCCATAGTAGACACTCGCTTGAGATCAAATGAGGCGAGCAGAGTGTTGAAGTCAGCAGCCTGGGGTTTTTCTAGGTGGATGTTGAAGTCACCGAGCAGTACCAGAGGAGTACCATCCTCAGGAAAGTTTGAAAGTAACACATCCAACTCCTCCAAGAAGTTGCCCAGTTGACCTGGGGGATGATAAATGACTACAAAGTGGATTTTAACCGGGTGTGTAATAGTAATTGCATGTGATTCCA